AGAAATGAAGACACGTGGCTTAGTAAGGAAGGAGAAAACTGAGGGTTTTAGAAAAACTCTCAAAATATAAAGACTTTGAAATTGAGAAGAGCATCAGCGTAACACAGATCCTCCTTCTGGGCTCTGCTCTCGTACTGAGGAGAACCACCCTCATGGCAGCCTTATAATTTCCTTTGGGATTAATAAAGTTTTCTGATTCTGATGTTCAACAAGTACCTTGAACAGTAGTCGTGATTTGGCGCTATATAACTAACATTGTATTGAATTAAACTGAGAAGGAATGGGTGATGAATACAGCAGGAAGTTTGCCGGCGTCTCTTTGCAGGGTTTAGCTGCTCAGGTCGTCTCACACATGCTCATCATGTGTTTCAGAGGGCTGGTTCTCTGTGACACCGGAGAGAATCGCTGAGCACATTGCCCTCAGGGTGGAGCACAGTTTCTCTGCGTCTCAGCTGGTCATAGACGCCTTCTGTGGTGTAGGAGGAAATGCCATCCAGTTTGCCCTCACTGGAAAGAGAGGTAAGTGTTTATAAGTTCATAAGGTGTTTTTAGAAATGCTGAACACGCGGAGCTCACAGTCTGTCCTCTGCGTCGTGTTTCTCTCTCAGTCTTAGCCGTTGACATCGATCCAGTGCGGCTGGACATGGCTCGGCACAATGCTGCGGTTTACAGTGTGGCCGACCGAATCGACTTCATACAAGGGGACTTCCTTCAGCTGGCCCCCCACCTCCACGCTGATGTGGTCTTCCTGTCGCCACCGTGGGGAGGACCTGACTACCTAACTGCTGAGGTGTTCGACATCAGGACCATGATGGAGCCTGATGGATATCCTTTGATGAGGAAGTGGAGGGATGTTAGTGACTGACAGGATTCGTCAGAAAACTGAGAGGAGAAAATTACAGCGTAGCTTTGAAAAATGTTTTTGCGTTTTCAATTTTACAGAAGACGTCAGGAGTCGCCTTTCATCTGTTAGAATAATAACGTGCAAACGCCAGCCCTCACTTTTTATATTTTGTTTCCAATCAGTCAGACTTTCTTGTCATCTTTGAACAGTTTTCTAGCTTTCAGTTTCTGGATTGGCTGCTTCCACATCCAGTTGCAGTTCAGTCCTTATCTCAGCTGCAAACATCACACTGACAGGCACGTGGCACAGACACCCAAGTTTTTAATACATCGACTTGAGGTGGTGTAGGAGTCCTTAAAGCATCTGAGGAATGTGAGTGGGAAACAAAACGAGAAGTGCCAGGGCTAAAAATATCTACAGCGGGTTGTCTGAAGGTCATGTAGCAAAGAAAGAGGAAAGAGATCCAGCAAAGACCGACAGAGGACCTCAGAGAAAACCCCACAGTCAGACGAGCAGCTATGAGCAGCACTGTGGCGACAGTGGGGAGGAAAAACTCCTTTTTAACAGGAAGAAACCTCCAGCAAACCAGGCTCAGGGAGGGGCGGGGCCATCCTGCAGCTGATTCCCTCACTGAAGTCAGAAATGGTCTCAGTGGAAGGATGGTAGTGAAGAGGCCGTGGTTCTACAGAGTATGGCTCAGGACTGTATCACGTTACCACGATACTGCAAACATTACCAAACCAATGTGCAAGAACTGAATACAGGCAAAAGGAAGATCTGTTATATTTTGGTGCAAATAAATAAAATATTTATATTTGAGGAATATGTGTGCTGTCAGAGCGCTACGTCACAACAACAGTCGCCTCCGAGTGCTTGATATTGTAAGACAGTCCCTACAGTTAAGCCCTGAAAGGTGAACTTTATGTCAGGCACTCTGCAGTTAACACATCCAGTCTGTTCAATCTGAAAGTTTCTTTTTTTGAACATGCAGTTTTCATCCTTGACACTCGGCACATTTGAGATCTTCCGCCTGGCCAAACTGATATCAGACAACATTGTGTACTTTCTTCCGCGTAATGTTGACATGGATCAGGTCAGTGTGTTCAGGATTTCTCAAACATGTAATGTAATCTGTACTTTGACATATTTCGTGTGACCGTGGATGTCTGGATGTTCATGCTCCACTGGACTGGCAACGCCGCGGTGGCATCGTTCTTTATCTACCCAGACTCTTATACTTGTAATGAGTATTGTGTTGTAGTTGTGTTTGCTTTGCTCAGCTTGTGTTGGGACTGTCTTACTGAAATCTTGTCTCTACAGGTGGCCTCTTTAGCCGGCCCAGGAGGGAAGGTGGAGGTCGAGCAGAACTTCCTCAACAACAAGCTGAAGACAGTGACTGCTTACTTTGGCAGCTTGATAAGCCCGGGCTAAGCCAAGCACCAGTACGAGCGACGATGAAGGAGAACGGACCGAACATCATTTCTGTTCCAGGTTACTGAACCACATCCACACAGGATTCACTCTGCAGATCAGCCTGGCCCAGCTTACCCACCTGCCATTTTCTATATCTTTATAATATCTGTTTTTATTTTGTCCTTTTATTCTACATTTGAGCCTAATAAAATGTTTTTCTCATTGTTTTTATGTAATGTTTTGGTACATTTTAGTTTAAGACTGGCAGATGACAAAGACATTAACTACATCAGCAACAGAGTTATTAACATCTGCACAGCAGAACCGTCTTTTAAAAAGCTGTTTATGTATTTGCTAAAGAGGTGCAGTGTGGGGGAAAAGCTTTGATAGCTGCCACTAGGATGGTAACCGGACTGGTTCTGATATAGCACCTTTCTACTCCACCTCTCCACATTCTGATGATGGGGTCACCGGCCCAGGCAGGCGGGCAGGTCTTGCAGATCGAGGTTTGTGAATGCGATATCTTGAAAACGAGGCAGTGTAGGGGCTTCAGTCTGATGCCACAGGTGCATCTGTTACTGATCTCCGATCAAACGTCAGGTTTTTTTGAAAATCTTGTGAATGCGATAACTCGTGAACAAGGTGGCGTAGAATTTTGAAATTGATACCATGAGTGTGTCTACTGCAAATCTCAGACGACTTCAAATCCTGGAGATAAAGTTTTTGACATCTCGCTGTGATGTAGGATTTAGTTTGATACAGTAGGTGTGTCTGCTAGGAGGCAGAGGGGTAGCACTAGCAGCTGCTGGCATTCACGCTCCAACCTTCCAGTTAGTAGACGACCTACTCTACATCCTGAGCTACGGCTTTGGAGTGAGGGACACAAGATCCATACTACAATATGTTTATCTTACAGTGTCCTGATGCAATTAAAATTGCAATTATGTATCCATGTAACTATTTTCACAAGTATTCAATTTCATTCAGTTTTGTTATTTAGTGCTAAAGCACAAGAGTCATTTCCAGGGCCTTTATGGAGTCATCGTCATCGTGATGAAAGTGCGTTTCGTAAAAACTGAAATATCGCTGAGGTATGAGTCATACTTGTATTTCACAGGCTGCTCCAGGAGCCGTTATAGTTTCAAGCACAAAGAATGAGAAATCAGCTATAAATGATAATCATTTATACACAGAACAATGAAGAAAAAGCCATGTGATGCTACAGTGGTTCATCAACAGAAACGTGTCATCAGTGACAAATGGCATGCCAATACATCTCGTTGCAGTCAAACGAATACAAATGCAGTACAATCAAATGTCAAGTGTAAGCCGTTAGCGTGTGACGGACAAACATTCCTTTGTAGAAACATATTTCCAGATACAAGAAACAAAAACACTCTTATCACCAGCTTGAATCCGGTCAGCGGAGCTGCTCTACAGGACGGAGCAGCTCTCAGCATGATCGGACCCGTTATTCTAGTTTCAGGGACACCGAGGAGAAAACAACACCTCTGAAAGACTGTGCTAAATGAAAATAAGGATTTCTCTGAGTGTGGAAAATGTCCTGCTGCCAAAATATGACCAGCTGCTTGTTTGATGATGAGTATCTGCGTCATGTCACATTCATCTACAGAGATGGTGTTTAAATGTGTTTAACCTTGGAGTCGAATGAAACCGACTCTGCAGCCTAGTTCAGTCACAGCAAGTCTCCACGAGGCGTTCGTTCTCAGCTGCTGTTCACCTGAACTTGTGTGAGCGTGAGGAAACCATTCTGCTGTCAGTCCACTCTGTCTTATATTACAGGGAGGGCTCGTTGATATAATAACACTGTGCAAAATTGAATATTATCCAAGATAAGAGTTCTTTCCTGATCCATAAGCCCAGTGCAGTGTTATGAGGCTGCTGCTTTTTCCTACTTTTGTCTTTATTTGACCTCAGATTCAATGTGGACACGTCGCAGATCTGCCACCAGCTTTGTGTCAAACATATTACCTTCAGCATGTGAAGGTAGTGACGGGGGTGCTGTTAGAGGCACAGTTTAGTCTGGATTGTGGAGTTTGTGGCTCTCAGCAGCTGACAGTGAAAACATCTGCCAGCTCTGGGAGCTGTTGGAAGGAATTTGGTTCACTTTAGGGAAGTTAGAGTATTTGTTTGCTACAGTGCTGTGCTTTACTCGTCCCTCACCAGCCTTGGTAGTGGAATCACTAACCTCACTGTGGATTTGAAGGTAAAGTTTAATAAAGTTATTTGTTCTGTTTTTGTAGTCTGGCCCTGGACAAACGGCAGCTTAAGACAAGCTGAGTGTGTTTCCTGAACTCACGGCAAAAAAGTATCAAGAAGTCTTTGAAAGACACATTCAGATGCAGAAATCAACAGAAGCTCTGAGTTCAGATGATGCAAACAATGTCATGGCTACATCTCCTTTACAGACAAGCAAGCCAGCTATGCATGCACGTGCGTGTGTCGCACACACACACACACACACCATAGGTTTTAGTCTGAGAACCGAAATTAAACTACCAACATACAGAATAAATCATTTTATAAAAATAAGGCAAATTATAACGTATCACACTTAATATACAAAAACACTCTAGAATTGTTTACTGTCGCTATATGCACAAAGGCTTATTGGGACTAATTCATAATTATTTTAATTCATGCCAAAGTTCTTAAAGTCAAAGTACCAGAAGTAAAGCACAAACACATGAAATAAAAACACAAATAAAATTAAGAATAAATAATATCAACATTTGAAAAAATATAATATCAATAAATAAATACATTACATACTGAAATCAAAGTCAGAGCGGTATATATATAAAAATATAAGATAAAAGCAAATGAACATACTGACTGATCCAAGGCCTGAAACTTTATGGCACCGTACACTGAAGGCCGTCCTTCCATCATATGAATCACTCCACACTGTCGCTGCCAGGCACTTCTGCGCCCTGTGCTTTAATACCCAAGCTAAAATACCAATGGTTTCCTCTGTCTCTAAAGTCCTCAGCTCCTCCAGGGTTAGTAGGTCGTCACCTCCAGCTACTCCCTAAGCTTGCAAAACTACATCCTAACGTGTGTCCGTATCGACGAGGGTTCAGATGAACCACTCTTTCTTGCTCTCATCAATGGTTTCGGTGAAGGCCGGATCGTTGACAATGATCGCTGCGTCGGCACAGTCTGCTGACTCGGCTCCCTTTGCCTCGTTAGTGTGGTAGGAGCCTTTGTGACGAAACATGTGACGGATCACGAACACCATGATGCACAGGACGCTGAAGATCACCATGGAGATGATTCCTGGAAGAAAGCATGAGCAACGCAGTGAGCACTTATTTGATGCAGCATTTGAAGAACGGAGTGAAGACAGCATTGTTCCTTATGTTGAGCTAGTCATTTTTAATGGCATGCTAACATTGCCAGAAATGACTAAACTGGTAAGCAATGATCATTTTGGAAAATGGCTCACTGAGGACCAGTCGCGGTTCCAGGAACCAGAGATGGAATTAAGGTTAAGAGATCCATTGACTTCCACTTATCCTTCTCAGGGTTGTGGAGGGGGGTTGCCCTATGGTTCATACCGTAGGGCAAGATGCGGGGGACACCCTGGACAGGTCGCCAATCTGTCTCCGGGCTAACACACAGAGACATACAACCATTCACGCTCACATTTACCTACAGGCGATTTAGAATCGCCATAACTGGTGAATATTTTGCAGCTCTGTTTCCTGCTTATTACAGAAAACTACCACAGCTGTTTCCTGATGATAATCACTTTTTAAATTAGCTTTAATAGCTTAATAATGTGTTATTAAATGGAAAAAGGCAGCTCTCTTTCCTGCTTATTACACAGATGCTACCATGGGTAACTGTGTGGTAATGACTTAGAAGTTACCACATTATTATAATCCTCTTCCTTCCTTGTTACCCTACTATTACCACTTTATTACTGAGCTGTATTTCCATATTATTACCCCAGTTTTTGGGCTCTTATTAGCCTATAACATATATTTCAGAGTAATATTTCTCAGCTTTAACCACTGTTACTACCATGATATTACTTGGCTATTTAGTGGCTATTACTTTGGTAATTGCATAGTAATAACTTAGAAACACATTATACTCGTTTCCCCCTTGTTACCCTACTATTACCACTTTATTACAGAGAAAGTGTAGAAAGTGCTACCCTTCATTCTTAATCAAAGACATATAAAAATAAAATGAAACTGAATTGAATAGATAAAATCAAAGATAAGTCTAATTAATACGTTGAAATACAGAATATTGAAGTATATATATGAGAAATACAGTTTGAGTAATGGAGATTTTTCTAATGTCTAAATTATGTGTAGACACGATGAAGTGTTTGTGTGGCTGCAGGAAAGTGGAAAGATAAGAAATGTGACTGGATAAGAGAAAAGTATGTTGTAAACAGAATCATAGCTGATATGATAGTTAATCAAGCTTAATACTGATGGGAATCAGGTATAAGTTCAACCACTACAATGAGTATGAAAACATTATAATGATTCAGGCGTCTCACTGAGTGTAGAGGCGGCCTGTGAGGCTGTGTGCTCACATGTATGTAAGCAGGATGGGGAGTGAGGGCGATACTAAGGAGCCACTAATCGAAGGTAATGTCTGACTTTGATATTATGGAGTCATCTTCATGTTCTGAAAAGAAGATTTCACATCTCACCAATACTGTCCGTGTTTGGTTCAACCACAGAACTTTCTGACTTCCCCATAAAAATGAGACGTCCTGGCCCTTACACAGCTAAAGGGATTCTGCTAAGACACTGCTGGGAAAGCCGCCCGCCTCCCTATGACGAATGGTTAATGGTTAAAATAGCATCGTACAAAAAAGTGACTTGTGGCCTATTAGACAAACTGTATTTGGTCTCCTTTTAGTAGCTGGCTCTCTGCCACCTGAGGTGCAGAGGTGTGTAATGGGGGGAGTGGGAGGTGAGTGTAAAACAGAGTATGATAAAACTTATTTCTCTTGTTTTGTTTATGTCTAAAGTTTAATAAGAAAAAGTTGAAAACAAGAATGTCTGACTTTGAAATGCATGACTTCATAAAAGGAATCGTATGTTGTAGTTGACCAACACAGACTGATAAAAAAAGTATCCCTGTGTTTTTGAATTAAAAAGAGATTATGTAGAAATGCACAGTCATGTTTGAATGAGCTAATGATCCATCTAATTAACGTAAAAGTGCACAGATGCCAGATGTCATCACAGAAGATGTAACATCAAGCAAGAAAGGCGGGAGAAAGGTCGACGAGGTGTAAACGTTGTGTTATGAAGAGTTTCCCTTTGATTAGCAGTTCACGCGATTTGAACTGATAGTTACACCAGAGGCCAGAGGGATCAACCGCAGCTCAAACTGTGAACTTAACAAACTGGGTTGATGTCTTTTGGCTTTTGCTCTGCTCATTTTTGCCATGTTAGATTATAAAGAGGATTTGAATTCTCACTGTTTCCTACAGTGAATATGTGGATTACCTCATGCAGTGAAAACAGTGACTTGGATGTTTCTAACCTCTTTCCTCTCAAACATCAGAACAATGCCAACATTAGCTCAGAGCAAGTTTATGAGATATAATTTTATTATTATACACGACCAGTCAGAGGTTTGGACAAACCTTCTCATTTAGTGTTTTTCCTTTATTTTTACTACATGTATCTACAGTATTATGTAGAAAGAAAAAGGAAAAATAGCTCTAAATATGTTTTATATTAGACTCCTCAAAGTAGCCACCCTTTGGTGCAAACACTCGGCCTTCTCTCAGTGAGCTCCATGATGTAGTTTCACCTCACAGGTGAGCCTGTCAATTCAGTTTTATTCATATAGCGCCAAATCACAACAGCAGTCGCCTCAAGGCGCTTTATATTGTACAGTAGATCGTACAATAATAGATACAGTGAAAAACCCAACAATCATATGACCCCCTATGAGCAAGCACTTTGGCGACAGTGGGAAGGAAAAACTCCCTTTTAACAGGAAGAAACCTGTAAAAAAACTCGGCAGAACCAGGCTCAGCGTCAGTCTGTCAGGGTTTGTTTGTGGAATTTCGTGCCTTCTTAGTGGGGTTGGGACCATCAGTTGTGTGCAACCCACTGGACGTCACGGCTGCGCTTTAAAGATATCTTTAAAAGAGACATGAAACTGTGCAGCATAAACTCCACCACATGGGAAATCAGCGCAACTCTACTCAGTCACTCACATCAATGCCTGAAAGATGTTTCCACAGCGGTGTGGACGCTACACCATTGCGCATAAGTGCAAACTACATTCAGGACCCGTTCAGGGATACAAGAAAATCCATCCCTGGCCACCACCTCTCACCGAGGGCAATAGCAGCCTGGAACAGAGTCTAGCCTCTCTCTAAGAGATTGGTTCCAGAGCCCAAATGTTGCATTGAGGTGAGCCCCACCATATAAAGCCGGTCTCTCAGTCTCATGCACAAGACTCCTTTCCCTACCAGAGAGGTGACCTTCCGTGTCCTGATAGCCAGCCTTGGTAGCCGGGGATTGGACCCCTGTCTGCTTCCCAACACACATTGCACCCGGACCTAACGGTGCCTCCTGTGGGTGGTGGGCCTACAGCAGGGCAGGCCCATGTCGCTGCTTCAAGCTGTGCCCGGCCAGGTCCCACGGGCTAAGGCCCATCTCCCAGACACGCTCCCTCCAGCTCCATCCTCAGGCCTGGCTCCAGGGTGGGGTCCCAGCAATCCTATTCCAGACAGGGTACACTCGTCCGTTGGTCTTCTTTTATCCATAGCAGTCGACTGAATTGCTCTTCATCTGGCCTCTCACACAGGGCCAATTTACCTTGGGAGACCCTACCAGGGAGCAACAAAGCCCCCAACAACACAGGCCCTGGGATCACTGGGACACACAAACCCCTCCACCACGGTAAGGCAGCGTTTCATGGAAGGACTTTTACTTCTCTCATTCCAAATTAATATTCCCGGTATCAAATATCACACACATATCGGGTGCAAAATAAGACACTTTTTCATGAAATTTAGTGTAATGCACAGTAAACTCAGGTGTGTGTTTCACAATGTGCTGGAACAGACAAGTTGCACTCATCAGTGCTGACTGATTCTAATGTGTTGCAATGGTTAACAATCTGTATTAATAAATTAGATGGTGATTATTTGCAGATGGCAGTTGCTTTGAGTCACAATGAGACAGGTTAGGTTCCACCAGGTGACCTCTGGGCAACCTTCAACTTGTCCCAGACAGCATAAAAATCCAATGTGACCGAAAAACTGAAAAATACCAGCGGCTCCGGGCGTTCCCCCTCAGCCTCCTGAGGCAGTTTTCAGAAAAGTTGACCTGTGACCTCGACCTTGAAGACAACATCACTGAGATTCAAACTGCTCAGAGATTTTTAATAGATACACCTATGGTATCAGTTTTAAAATCATACACCACCTCGTTTTATGTACATCAATCTGTGCATTTTCCAATTATATAGACAAAAACAGCAGCTCAGAATCCTGGTATACTTAAAACTAAACATACCTCCTATGACAGCCGAGTTGCGATCCACACCATCACCACTGAACTTGTCCTCATTGAGGTTGAAAACAGCTCCAGCTGTGAACAAAGCAAACATCTGTTATCTATCTGAATCCTGAGAAACTTTAGAATTTTACAGTGGCATGCCCCTATGTATGCTGAAACCCTATGTCAGGGGTGTCCAACGCCAGGCATCAGGGCCGGTGTCCTGCAGGTTTTAGATCTTACCCTGGGTCAACACACCTGAATCACATGATTAGTTCATTACCAGGCCTCTGGAGAACTTCAAGACATGTTGAGGTCATTTAGCCATTTAAATCAGCTGTGATGGATCAAGGACACATCTAAAACCAGGCCTGGAGTTAGACACCCCTTTCCTATGTTCTATGTGTTTCTACCACCTTCTATGTGCCAGGGGTCTCTGGCTGAAGCCATGGGGGAGATGGTCAGGGGGGAGGCTCCACAGTTTGAAGGAACCAGTATCCCATGGGTGCTGACAGGTGCTGCTATGCTGGAGCGCAGGGCAGCTTTCAGCGGTGCTACACTGTTAAACTGAACTCTTGACAGGCAGCCCATGAAACCTGGTGTGTTGTAGCGCTCGATCAGGATGGGGTCAATCTGGCCTGTTTCTAAAAGAAAGAGAAAGCAGCTTTAATTGTCGATGGAGAGTCGATGGAGCGTAGCGGGGGAGGTAAACAGTTCCACAGTAGTGGAGGTAGGGTTTGAAAAGCGCAATCCCGCTTTGTTTTTAAACGTCTCCGTGGAATAGTCAGGAGACCACTATCATTGGAGTTGGAGAGTAGGGTTGAAGAAGCTCAGTGATATAGGCGGGGGCCTCGCCCAATGCAACTACGACTGAAACTTTTTTTGGGCCTAAAAGCATGTTAGTCTTTAAAATATTCACTGTGAATAAATATTTAAATATTTTAAATAACAAAAATAATATAATAACAATGTTTTAAATGTGTTTATTGTTCACAATCCAATAAACTTACCTTTTAAGGTTAGGTTTTAAAGTTAAACCCTCTGACTTCTAGGCCACCCTTACATCATCAGAGCCCTGTACTACTAAGTGAGATTGTCCTTTGTTTGATATACAGGGTGGGCCATTTATATGGATACACCGTAATAACATGGGAATGGTTGGTGATATTAAAGTCCTGTTTGTGGCACATTAGTATATGTGAGGGGCAAACTCCTCAAGATGGACCATGGTGGCCATTTAGAAGTCGGCCATCTTGGATACAACTTTTGTTTTTTCAGTAGGAAGAGGACCATGTGACACATCATACTTATTGGTAATGTCACAAGAAAAACAATGGTGTGCTTGGTTTCAACGTACCCATATGGAAAAGAAATAGTAAAAACTTATATGTGATTACTCATGAAAGTGGCCACTTTCTCATTACTTTCATATATTGTTTTAGTAAGTATCCAAAACATACAAGTTTCATTATATAATTTTTCAAGGGATCTTATATGTGTTTTCACTCTTGTATGCTTTTCACACAAGTTTCACACAAGACAGATACAAACTTTATAAGATTTATATATATCTTTTCCATATGGGTAACTTTATTCTTTCATGAGTTATTTACAAGTTTCTGTTTGTTCACAGCCATTGACATGTCGAAGAGGTTAACACGTGAGGAGCGGATCGAAATTGTGTTGATATCTGGTGAACGCAGTAACCAGGATTTCAATGCAAGACCCCCTACGAGACCACCCATCTCCCATGCTACAGTTAGCAAACTGCTTGCTAAGTTTGGTGAAACTGGTTCAGTGTTGGATTTGCCAAAATGTGGACGCAAGAAAACTGTCAGTAATGAAGAAACATCAGTGGCTGTCCAAGCTTCATTCAGCAAGAGCCCACAGCGTAGCACTCGCCGCATGTCACTGGAGAGCGGCATTAGTCGAACATCCCTTCGGCGGATATTAGCTACTCACAAATGGCATCCTTACAAACTCCAGCTGCTGCAGCATCTCAACGAGGATGACCCAGATCGGCGCACAGAATTTGCAGAATGGGCAAAACAAAAATTGGAACAGGACCCTCAGTTCACGCAGAAGATTTTGTTCAGTGATGAGACAAACTTTTATGTGAATGGTGAAGTTAACAAACAAAACCACCGCTATTGGTCTGACACTAACCCACATTGGATGGATCCCTCAAAGACTGTTGGAACAACAAAAGTGATGGTTTGGTGTGGTATATGGGAACAACGATAGTGGGTCCATTCTTCATCAATGGAAACCTCAAGGCCACTGGATATTTGAACTTGCTACATGATGATGTGTTTCCCTCTTTGTGCACTAAAGCTGGCACGTTCCCTGAGTTTTTCCAGCAAGATGGTGCACCACCACATTATGGGTGCCAGGTCCGAGCATTCCTAGATGAACAGTTTCCTGGAAAGCGGATTGGTCATCGTGGGCCAGTTGAATGGCCCCCAAGGTCTCCCGATCTGACCCCCTTAGACTTTTATCTTTGGGGTCATCTGAAGGCAACTGTCTATGGTGTGAAGATACGAGATGTGCAGCACCTGAAACTACGGATACTGGATGCCTGTGCTGGCATTTCTCCTGCGGTGTTGCTATCAGTGTGTGAAGAGTGGGAGAAGAGGGTTGCATTGACAATCCAACACAATGGGCAGCACATTGAACATGTTTTATAAGTGGTCAGAAACTTGTAAATAACTCATGAAAGAATAAAGTTACGTTGAAACCAAGCACACCATTGTTTTTCTTGTGACATTACCAATAAGTTTGATGTGTCACATGGCCCTCTTCCTATTGAAAAAACAAAAGTTGTATCCAAGATGCCGACTTCTAAATGGCCACCATGGTCACCACCCATCTTGAGGAGTTTGCCCCCTCACATATACTAATGTGCCACAAACAGGACTTTAATGTCACCAACCATTCCCATGTTATTACGATGTATCCATATAAATGGCCCACCCTGTAGTGTTGCTCTAATGATATTAGAAAAAGTAAAAGCTAAATGCCATTTCAACTTTTTACTTCATTTTTATTTTATGTTTTTCAACACAAAACATATTTGGATTCTAAGAACTAGAAGCTCATCATTTCAGGTAGGAAAAAAGGCACACAAAAAAGTTAATAAGTGACTGGTACAAGAATAAATAGGACAATATTCAGATCATAGAACATCACTCAGCATCCCTTCATGGAGTCAGTCATGCAAAAACAGGAGCCATATAAACACACACACACACACACACACACACACACACACACACACACACACACACACACACACACACACACACACACACACACACAAATCTCTAGACTCACCAAAGACTTTGCCAAGAAAGATACTTTTGACCAAAGTGAACTGGGTGTCAGAGGCCTCAGGCAGCGTATATGTGGACACTGGATAATGGTCCAGCTGGATAATGTGGACAGAGAAAAGCAACAGTCAAGTTTAACTGATAAACTGCATCTTCTTTAAACTTTGTCTGTCAAGTTTTAAGACTCCTGTCCTTGATTTGGTGAAAAGAAGTTTGTCTAAGCTAAAAACTAGTTTTTTAATATAATTTGATGTACTTTTTATAATAGAATTATTCTTTCAGAAGATGTAATTTACAATTGCATCTAATTACAATTTGCAATTCAGGTGAACTCAGGGTTTAAATACATTTTTCTACTCTGACTATCAATATATCAAACTAGCACCTTTAGCAGCTTCTCTCAAAGTAGTGACTTTAAGAAATATATACACTACTAGTCAAGGGTTTGGACACAGATTCCTATTTAATGATTTTCCTTTATTTTTACTACTTTCTTTTTTATTATCATGATAATAATAATTATGATAAGATATAAGAGTTGGAAGAAAATAATACAAGTGTGATTGTGAGTAGTGAGAGTGAAGTGGGCGTGACGTTTTAATGTATTCAGTCCAGGATTAATGTAATTTAGGAGACAATTATAACAATAATGATAATAATAGTTAAAGCAACATTAACTCAGTATTATCACCATCATCACCAATAATCATAATAATGACGATATTGACAGCCATAAGTATGACCAATGACCAGCTATGAACAATAACAGTCATGACCATGACAACAATAACATCGTTATAAGAAGAATATAATAGCTCACAGCGGTATTCTGCTAAAATAAGCTGGAGGGATGATTCAGAGGCGTTACCTGCAGGGTAGGAAAGGTCTTTTTCTCTTTCCTTTCATACGCCCCCCTCCTTTTTGGTAAATGGTAAATGGACTAGTTCGTATATAGCTCTTTTCTAAACACTCAAAGTGCTTTACTTAACTTGGTTCATTCACCCACTCACACCAGTGTTGAAGTCTTGAATGACTGGTAATAATACACCTGGTATGGAGCAGAATTCGAACCACCAGCCCTCTGTTTATTGGACAATCTGCTCTACATCCCAAGCCACTGGCACCCACTGCTCTCTTCCTTTCTGGAGTTGGGACCATAGAGCTCTGGGCTGCCCCCAGACCTGATTGGAGGGAACCCTGAGTATGGCCTCCTTTAGATTAGCCCCCAGAGCCAAAGGAGAAAGCCTGTTTATAAGTGGATCGGTGATCAGGTTAAACGGTTTTGCGTTTTTGTTTTTTGTTTGTGTACAAGGGGGAATCAAAGGTGGTTAGAGGTGATTAGGATGTGAAATGGGAGACGAGGAGAGAGGGGAAAAAATAATTAAGATATATCAGGCAGTAGCATACATTATTTTAGTGATGATAATGGACCAGTTTTTATTGAACTCAACTCTGTTTGAGAGCAGGTGACATTTTTTTCTTAGGATATATAATCTAATAGAAGGTTCTTTCACTGTGAAATGGACGGATGGATGGATGGATGGATGGACAGATGGATGGACAGATGGATAGACAGATGGATGGATGGACAGATGGATGGACGGACAGATGGATGATTCAGCGGTTTAAATTCTTTTGAACCAATTTAAGCAAGGGGGTGAAATTCATGCTGAACAGGATTTGGTCAGCTTGGAGGAAACATTAATATTTAATATTTAAGATCTGCCCCGTCCTCCTCATCCATACAGAGTGGCAAAATAGTGTATTTCGACCAGGTTATAGAGAAGCTGAGACTTCTGAAAGCAAATCTATAACCCAAATGTTTGCTGCAAAGAGTGGGGATCCTGAAGGAGCAATAAAACATCTACATAAAGAAGAATTTTGTTGTGTATTAGACATTGAAATACCTTTAATATTGCCATTTTGTCTTACAGTAGCAGCTAGCGGTTCTGTGAATAACGCAAATAGCGATGGAGAGAGACATATTTGCCTGGCACCAGTGTGAAGAGTAACGCTTTGTGTAATTAACCCATTGGTGGTGACTGTGGCCACTGGCGATGTGTAAAACGCTCTTATCCAACTGATAAATGATTCTCCAAATCCAAATTTCTTAAATATTGCAAACAGAAATTTCCAGCTTACTTTGCCAAATGCTGCATTGAGTGATACGATTAGTGCCAGTGTTACTTTTTTGATACTGTGAAAGCTGCGTTAACTTGATACATACTAAATATGTCTTATATTTTAGATTCCTGTAAGTAGCCACCCAGCTGCAAACCCTCGGCCTTCTCTCAGCTTCATGATGTCGTCACCTGAGATGGTTTCACCTCACAGGTGAGCCTGTCAGGGTTCATTGGTGGAGTTTCTTGCCTTCTTCATGGTGTTGGGACCATCAGTCGTGTTGTGCAGCAGTCAGGTTGGTGCACAGCTGACAGCCATGTTTGACAGCTGTTAGAGTTCATATTATGGCAACAACCAATGAGCTAAGTAAAGAGAAACAACAGCCCATCATTACTGTAAGAACTGAAGGTCAGTCGGTCCAGAAAACTGCTAAAACTTTGAATGTGTCCCGAAGTGCAGTCAGAAAAACCATCAAGACTACGATGAAACTGTCTGACATGAGGACGCCCCAGGAAAGGAAGACCAGGAGTCCCTCTGCTGCTGAGGATACAATCATCCGAGTCACCAGCCTCAGAAATCACAAGTTAACAGCAGCTCAGATTAGAGCCCAGATAAATGCCACACAGAGTAGAGACACATCTGAGTAGAGTAGAGATTGTACAAATCAGGCCTTTATGGTCAATTTTTTTTTAAATTTTTAATCCTTTATTTATCCAGGTAAAAAATCTCATTGAGATTAAAAATCTCATTTCCAAGAGAGACCTGGAAATAGCTGCTGAGAAACCACGACTCCATGAGAAATCACGACTAAGGAAAAGCAACAAGCAGAGATTTGTTTGGGTCAAGAAACACAAGGAGTGGACATTAGACCATCTGTGCTTTGGTCTGATGGGTCCACATCTGAGATCTTTGGTTCCACTTTCTGTGTGAATGGTCTCTACATGCATGGTTCCCACTGTGAAGCATGGGGTTGATGGTTTGCTGGTGTGGGGGGCTTTACTGGTGACACTGTTGGGGATTTATTTAAACTGAAGGCACACTGACCCAGCATGGCTACCACAGCATCCTGCAGCAACATGCCATCCCATCATGTATTGTTCAACAGGACAATGACCCCAAACACACCTGCAGGCTGTGTGAGGGCTGTTTGACCAAGAAGGAGAGTGATGGAGTGCTGCACCAGATGGTCTGGCCTCCACAGTCACCTGACATAAACCCAGTGGAGATGGTTTGGGATGAGATGGAGCGCAGAGTGAAGGGAAAGGACCAACAAGTGCTCAGCACCTCTGAACTCCTTCAAGACTGTTGGAAACCATTTGAGGTGACGACCTCATGAAGCTCATGGAGAGAAGGCCAAGAGTGAGCAAAGCAGGAATCAAAGCAAAGGGCGGCTGTTAGGAAGGATCTAAAATATAAAACATGTTTTGAGTTGTTTCACACTTTTGTTTACTACATAATTTCATGTGTTCATTCATAGTTTTGATGCCTTCACTGAGAATCTAAAATGTAAAAAGTCATGAAAATAAAGAGAAATCATTAAATGAGAAGCTGTGTCCAAACGTTTGATAGTGGTTAGTGTATATTTTCTAATACTAAGTTTTGAAGCAGCGTGTATCTCCAGCTAAAGAAAAATTCCTAGCTTCTGTTATTTCTATTTACACATGGAAAAAAATATGTGAAAAAATACTTACACATGCATTTCTCAGTAACACAGGGGTAACAGCATGTAAATAATTATTCTATATAATAAGCCTTTGTTATAAATTGTGTCTTTGATGACATTCCAGCAAAAAGTGCTGCATTAAATCACTCCTAATACAAACTTAATACTCACTATTAAATATTTGCTACAGCTTCAAACTAAAAGAATTTTCAGCTGAAGACTTTTATTATTAACTTGACTGCATTTTGCAATTCATCGCATATTGTAGTGGCAGAATTCACTAACCTGTAGCCGTATCTCCCTTAAGTTCCTAGTTATGTTGACAGAATGTGGCTGACCGTTGGCCATGTTACGATGGTCAACATCTATGGTATACGGTTCTGTGAGTCCTCCAAGGCTGTAGCGGATCTGGAGAGTGCCTGAAAACACAAAGAAATACGTACATTTCTTACAGTTCATAAATGGTAAAGGGACTGGTTCTTACATAGCGCTTTTCTACTCTGAGCATTCAAAGTGTTTTCTACAACTTGCCTCATTCATCCATTCACACAAGCACTTTTTTTCAATTGTTCTTCTACAAAGATGCTTGCTATCTAACATTTACACCGACACTCCGATGCATCAGAGTGCCACTTGGGCTGAGTATCTCTCCCAAGTATATTTGGCACGGAGACCACCCTAGATGAGAACACATTAAATGTATCAGATATGACACTAATAAGCCTACCATTGTGTCTGAGAACCACAGCCAAGTAGTCCTGAGTTCTGGAACTGATGTAGACAAGAATGCTGGGAGCACTGTAGGTGCTGAAGCTGAACACAAGCTCCTCCTGAGTCAGGTTGGCCTCACTTGAAACACCAACACCTGACAGACTCTTCACGTCCCTCAATGCAAAAGGTCCCCCCTCTGGCAGCAAGTCGTAACGCACCAATGTCCCCGTCTCAAAGTAGCCGCCTACATCTAACGTATAATTAAAGAATAAAGAACATTAAAACATAGCGGAAATTCTTATTGATTATTAAATCTGAACCCATCTAATCTCAAACAGGGTGTTGGTCATACCATCAGTGCAGAAGGGTCCATCGTAAGCAGTAAGGGAGCAGTCACAGGAGTAACCATTGTAATGCTCTACACACTTTCCTCCATTTCTGCAGTGCATCCTGTAGCTGTTGCAGTGGCCCTGGCAGCCTGGATTCACACCTGGAGTCCCTTTTGCCCATTCCTCCAGGTCAAAGGTCACACCATTAATCTTCAGAGCTCGCATGCAGCCCAGAAAACCTCTTTGACCACTTGAAGCACCTGGTATAGATGTAAGGCAGAATAATCCAGAACAGCATTAAGAACACCTTCAAATAACGAGTAATTCAATGTGATATGCAGATTAGCACATTACTGTTGAATGAGTTTCTTGTTTTTCGTGTGCTCCAGTCTGCAGTGGCTTCCAGCTAACGGTACAGAAATCAGAAAATAATGACATCTCATGCCCCACTTAGACTGGAGGTGCCAGGGATCGAACCACTAACCTTCTGATCAGTAGACGACCTACTCTACCTCCTGAGCTACAGCCACCCCAATTGAAGTCAGCAGCGAAGTCAGCACACTATACACAGTGCAGGTAGAGCACCACTTTTCCTTTCTGAGTCGCCTGACAGTTTGCCAGAATCTCTTCAAGGCAGTTTGGAAGTTTATTTCCATTGTCTTTCCTCCCACACCCGAGATTTTGCTTCAGCCACTGCCGTCACCACATTCCACTTGGCCTGTTAGTACCTATTGGCTGCCTCCAAAGTCCCACAGGCTAACCAAGCCCAATAGGACTCCATCTAAAGCCTGGTGGTTCCCTTCACCCCTAGTGTCCACCTCTGGTGTTCAGGGTATACCATCACAACAGGCACCAACAACCTTGTAGCTGCAGCTCAGTGCAGCAGTTTCAGCAATGCAGGTCCATTTAGACTCAGTGTCTCGTGTCTCAGAATGCTGTAGATCAGGGGTGTCCAACTCCAGGCCTCGAGGGCCGGTGTCCTGCTGGAGGGCCTGGGTCAACACACCTGAATCAAATGATTAGTTCATTACCAGGCCTCTGGAGAACTTCAAGACATGTTGCGGAGATAATTTAGCCATTTAAATCAGCTGTGTTGGTTCAAGGACATATCTAAAACCTGCAGGACACCGGTCCTCCAGACCTGGAGCTGGACACCTGTGTTGTAGATGCTCTGCTGGAGGTGGGAGCTGAAGATCTTGTGGCGTCTGCCAGGCATACCCAGCGCACCCTCACTATACATTTAGGTCTAGCATCCTCTCCCATCACCTGATCCAACTCACCACTCTAATATTAGCATTAGAGTAGGGTAATTAGTATAAGTACATAAGCATAATTCTGGTGATTTGATTATTATTTTGTCCATCCATCCATCCATCCATCTTCATCCGCTTTATCCGAGGCTGGGTCACGGGGCAGCAGCCTAAGCAGAGAGGCCCAGACCTCCCTCTCCCCAGCCACCTCCTGCAGCTTATCCGGGGGAATACCAAGGTGTTGGGACATGCCCAGAACACCTCACCCAGGAGGCGCCCAGGAGGCATCCTTGTCAGATGCCAGAACCACCTCAGCTGGCTGATTTCAATATGGAGCAGCAGCGGCTCTACTCTGAGCCCCTCCCGGATGGCTGAACTTCTCACCCTATCTCTAAGGGAGAGGCCAGCCACCCTTCGGAGGAAGCTCATTTCTGCCGCTTGTATCCGCGATCTCGTTCTTTCGGTCACTACCCACAGCTCGTGACCATAGGTGAGGGTAGGGACATAGATCGACCGGTAAATTGAGAGCTTCGCTTTTACACTCAGCTCCCTCTTCACCACGACGGACCGGTGCAGCGTCCGAATCACTGCAGTCGCGGCCCCAAACTGTCTGTCGATCTCCGGCTCCCTTCTCCCATCACTCGCAAACAAGACCCCGAGATACTTGAACTCCTCCGCTTGGGGCAGAAACTCATCCCCAACCCGGAGTGGGCACGCCACCCTTTTCCGGCTGAGAACCATGGCCTCAGATTTGGAGGTGCTGATCCTCATTCCCGCTGCTTCACACTCGGCTGCGAACCGTTCCAGTGCGAGCTGGAGGCCCTCACCCGATGAAGCCAACAGAACCACATCATTCGCAAAAAGCAGAGATGAGATTCTGAGGCCACCAAAGTGAAAGCCCTCCGCCACTTGGCTGCGCCTAGAAATCCTGTCCACAAAAATTATGAACAGAACCGGTGACAAAGGGCAGCCCTGGCAGAGCCCATCACCCACCGGGAACGAGTCCGACTTATTGCCGGCAATGCGAACCAAGCTCTTGCAACGGTTGTATGGGGATCGAATGGCCCGTAGCAATGGGCCAGACACCCCATACTCCCGCAACACCTCCCACAGGACACCCCGAGAGGACACGGTCTAATGCCTTCTCCAAGTCCACAAAACACATGTAGACTGGTTGGGTAAACTCCCATGCACCCTCAAGTATCCTTGAGAGGATAAAGACCTGGTCCAGTGTTCCGCGACCAGGACGAAAACCGCATTGTTCCTCCTGTATCCGAGGTTCGACTAACGGACGAACTCTCCTTTCCAGCACCCTGGCATAGACTTTCCCAAGGAAGGCAGAGGAGTGTGATCCCCCTGTAGTTGGAACACACCCTCCGGTCCCCCTTCTTAAAGATGGGGACCACCACCCCGGTCTGCCAGTCCAGGGGTACTGTCCCTGACCTCCACGCAACATTGTAGAGGCGTGTCAACCAGGACAGCCCTACAACGTCCAGAGCCTTCAGGAACTTGGGGCGGACCTCATCAACACCAGGGGCTCTGCCACCAAGGAGTTGTTTAACTGCCTCAGTGACCTCGCCCCCGGAAATTGGCGGGTCATTCCCCTCATCCCCAGACTCTGCTTTCTTCTCGGAAGACGTGTCAATGGGATTAAGGAGGTCCTCGAAGTATTCCTTCCACCGCCTGACAATTTTCTCAGTCGACGTCAGCAGCGCTCCGCCAGTACTATACACAGTGCAGGTAGAGCACCGCTTTCCCCTCCTGAGACGCCTGACGGTTTGCCAGAAGCTCTTCGAGGCAGTCCGAAAGTCTTTTTCCATGGCCTCTCCGAACTCCTCCCACACCCGAGTTTTTGCTTCAGCCACTGCCCGAGCCGCATTCCGCTTGGCCTGTCAATACCTGTCAGCTGCCTCCGGAGTCCTACAGGCTAACCAAGGCCGATAGGACTCCTTCTTCAGCCTGGTGGCTCCCTTTGCCTCTGGTGTCCACCGTTTGGTTCGGGGGTTACCACCACGGCAGGCACCAACCACCTTGCAGCCGCAGCTCAATGCAGCAGCTTCGGCAATGGAGACGCTGAACATGGTCCATTTGGACTCAATGTTCCCAGTCTCCCTCGGAATGCTGTTGAAGTTCTGCCAGAGGTGTGCGTTGAAGATCTCGCGGACTGGGGCCTCTGCTAGACGTTCCCAGCACACCCTCACTACGCGTTTAGGTGCACCGGGTCTGTCCAGCGTCCTCCCCCGCCACCTGATCCAACTCACCACCAGGTGGTGATCAGTTGACAGCTCAGCCCCTCTCTTTACCCGAGTGTCCAGAACATATGGTCGCAGGTCTGCTGATACGATTACAAAATCGATCATCGACCTGTGGCCTAGCGCGTCCTGGTGCCACGTGCACTTACGGACACTCTTATGTTCGAACAAGGTGTTCGTTATGGCCAAACTGTGTCCAATAACAAAACACCGCTCGGGTTCAGATCAGGGAGGCAGTTCCTCCCAATCACGCCCATCCAGGTCTCACTGCTGTTACCCACGTGAGCATTGAAGTCTCCCAGCAGGACAACAGAGTCTCCAGGTGGAGATTTGAAATGTTCTGCAACCAATGCCATCAACATCTTTTAAGGTTGTGAAGGTTTAAAGAGAGGTCGCTGGCTTTACCATCATGAAGTGTTTCTTGTGTGATGCCATGGTAACGAGACGCCTGTTTATAGGCCATTATTTGGGACTGAACCAGCTGATATTAACTTGTACTAAGTGACAGGACTGCTTTCTAATAACTAACATAACAGTTCAAAAAAATCGTTAAAAACTCAAAATGTTTGTAATTTGGGGCCTTTAATGATTTCTTTCAACTGTTCTTTTTCCAGGATGAAATCATTGTACAGTATACATCTTTGATGAGTTAAGTTATAGATTTATTTAATAGTGAAAAATAAAAAAGTATTGAACAGATGAAGAAAGAGAGTCATGACACCAACTGAAATCATTCATGCTCACGGTGAGGTAAACTTTTAAGCAACTCTAAAGCACCTTTAGACATCTGTTGCTGTGAATCAGCACTATATCAACAAATCTAAATTTAATTAATGCACTACGCTGGACTGTGCTGCACCATGATACCAAGACAGACTCCTCTTTTGGTTACAAACTTGGTAATAAACAAATCTGATACAGGGTAGGCTGCAGGGTTCGAGGTCAATCCTAAGTGACATTAAATGTGCAGAATGAAATAAAATTTAAACTGATGTTGCTGATTAGAGCCATTCACAGAATTCTAGCTTTTGCACAAGCATTATACTGCCTATGTGTCAAAAATAAGCTGTGACACTTCATGTAACATCTGCTTATACTGTGATGAATTCCCGCACCCAAGAACATTTGTCTGTCGGTCGGGCATTGCTTTCCAGCTGTAACCCTCTAATGTATTTACCACCGAGTCAAATGTAATTCAGCTGTATTCTAGGCTCTAACTGTTAGTTGCTTCAATTGCTTACCTCAAGCCCTTTAAACTTAAACTTTTGGTTATCTCAAGCACCTTCTCACCCTTTGGGAAATTTGTCGTCAAAGTCAGGACCATTAACATTTTTTTTATATTTGGATGATCTGCAGCCATTAATAAATTCAGACAAAAACTTAAAAGATTTTTTATAGTTCAGACTCTGATGATCACAACACAACATTTTAAAACATCAAAAAAAAAAAGACCAAATATACTGAATGAAGCACACATGCTTGTTCATTGTGGTTTGAAGACATATATGAAGAAGAGTAACATACTCCTCATGAGTCCAAATGGGACCATAAACATATGTGGCACACAAGTCTTACCAACATAGAGATCACTGTAGAGCTCTGGTTTTGCATGGCCCTGTAAGGTGGTGGGCCTGACCATTCTGTGCTGTCCATTAAGTTGCAGCACTGCCTCCTTGATGTTTTTTTCAGCCTCCACACGATGCCACTGGTCATTATTTAACGGCACTGGTGAGCGGACACTGAGCTCCATCTTCTCAGTGCCAATGCCAAAAGAGAATAAAACCACTGAGTCGGCTGTGGAGTCAAACATGTCAAACATTGGAAATAGTTAAAATTTTCATCTCCTAGAGACAGATAGTAATAAACACTGATGATTAAGTTATCTCTGTTTACAGGCTTACATACCACAGGCTTTTAAATCCTTATTCAAAAAGCTCTTACTTGATCCAAATGTTTTAGCTAAATATAGACCCACTTTCCTTTCATTTCAAAATGTTTTGAAAGAGAAGTCGCCAAACACTGACCATTTGCATTTGCAAAGGAACGGTTTATTTAATGGTTTACTTAAAGTGCATCGTAGCACAGGAGCAGCACTAGTGAAGGTTATGAATTATCTACTTATGGGCTCTAATAGCAGACTCCTCTCCATGGTTGTCCTGACAGACCTCAGTGCACAGAACTCACCACTGTGCTGGTTTGAATCATATCTATCTGATAGACTCCAATTTATCCATATAAACGGGAGTCTTCTTCACATTTAAAAGTTATGAATGGAGTTCCACAGGGCTCCATGCTGGGACCAATATTTTTTACATTATACATGTTTCACTTAAGGAATATTATTACAAAACAACAGATATTTTAAAACGACGTTTTCAGTGGGAGAAACGTGTCGTCACTCATCAGCTGACTTCTTCAGTCTCAGCTGATCAATGAACTGACCTCACAGCCCATTGTTCATTCAGTCAGCTGGTTTCAGTCATTATGCAAATGCAGTGTTTATAAGGTTGAAACCTGCAGTCAGCTGAGACTGAAGAAGTCAGCTGATGAGTGACGACACGTTTCTCCCACTGAAAACGTCCAGATGAACAGAATCAACCTTTTGGGGATTATATCTTTAAAAAGGACCTAATATCTCAACTGCACATGTGCAAAGGTCTCAACAGTATTACAGTAGTACACACACACTGACCCACCTCTGAGCTCAATGTGAAGGAAGCTGGTGCTTCCTAGGATTTCTAGAAAGACTCCATGAGTAGAGGACGTCTTAAAGTAGAAAGAGATGTCAGTGCTGGTTTCATCTCTCAAAGAAGGATAGTGGAGGTAAGAGGCGGGGCTTGTAAAGGAGGCCGCATTCCGGAAGTTTGCTATAGAAAATAACCACAAGATATAAAATATATTTGTCTATGAAACAACATGAAATACGTGTGTGTGTGTGTGTGTGTGTGTGTGTGTGTGTGTGTGTGTGTGTGTGTGTGTGTGTGTGTGAGACTCACAGTCCCCTCGGCATCTGAGTGGCCCTATGGTTAGTTTGGCCTCAGATCCAGCTCTGCTTGTATCACCAACCACAACCTGACTGACTGGCAAGTGGTCTTTGTAGACCAACAGGCCTGAGTCCTCCTTCCTACATACACGGACACACACAGAAAGAAGACATGACAGTCAGCTCAGGATTATGTCAGCTAAAAATATTTCCTTTACTTTGATTAGATTTTTTAAATCAATCTTGTCTAATTGGTGTTATTACATCATTCACATATACATTTAAGAAAGTACTGAAGGGCTGATCAGGGTTTGGCACAAGCTTTCATTCAAACACTGAGTGAGGATTATGAGGATTATAATCTATAGCAGGGGTCGGCAACCCTGTGGCACGCGAAGGGTTAACTGATGGCACGACCATAGCTGGACTGGCCATGTGATTTTTCGTTTTTATGGGCCGATGGTTTTTTGTTGTTTTTTTGTTTGTTGTTTTGGGGGTTTTGTAACGGTATAAACAAGGAAAGGTGGTGAATTGGCCAGATGCTGGCAGATGTGTAAAAATAACTCAGTTATTTGGAGCTTCCACAGAGGCCAGCAGGTGGATGACAGAAAGGGGAGGAGGAGCAGAGCCCCGAGGCGGCCACCAGTCCGAGTGTCAGGTGAACTGAACTTCAGGTAAGAAGTTATGACCTGCAGTCTATCTGGGTCAGATATAAACCAAGTTTAGGTGGAGTTTATTTTCGTT